ACACACAATCAGTTTTATGTATGTATTGATCCCTTTTCCTCGAATTTGTTTCTTCCTTTCTGTGTCTAGGTGAGCACCTTCAAGAAGTGCCAAACAGTCGGTGGTCGGTGGTTTGGAATGCCTGCAGGACTCTTAGGGGGGGCACTCTGTCTGTGATGTCTGAGGTGCATATGGTCTATTRTGGGCGATAACAGACGTCCATCGGAGTGACTTCCTGGCTCAGCAGTTGGCGAGAACCAACAGTCTCGGGGTTTACTCGCAGCTGTGAGGAGGAGATGACATATTGCCCCTTTGCGCCATGCTGGATGTGTAGACTGCCTTGTCTAATACGCTCTGCCACTGCCTTGGTGCCCGTCATGCTTTCCCCGCATCTCGTTATTTGCATCTGCTGTGTTCACTGTGTGGTGTGGCTCGATGTTGGTATTGCCTTGTGTTTCGCTGCGCTCCTCCTTTGCCGCCCATCCGCAAGACTTGCCTTTCGCCTTCTTTGCTTGTGTCCCTTGTTGTTTGGCTGCTTTCATGGCTTTGCAACTTCCGCCTTGCGCTTCGCTGTGCTGTTGCCAGTCTGTTTGTCCTCTTGCGTTGTCGTTCACGAAAAAAATCAAGTTAGTTGTGGTGTTGCACAGTTGGGTTGCTGGCCCCCCCTTGATGTATGTGGACTTTGCTTGAGACTAGATACATTCAGGGGGTCTGGCGTGTTAAGACAGACCCTCAGGAGCAGCAAATTTGAGAAATGTTTTCAGCCAAAAAACTTGGTTTCAATTTCGTTCAAAAAATAATAAAATAATAAAATATCCATTTTGACGAAATGGAATTTCTGAAATTTGTTGCCTCCTGCAATGTTCCGCTTGGGTACAGTCCACCTTCAACAAGGGTCAAACGGTTCATGACCCGAACCACATCCAATGCGGAGATTCCGCAGATTGTAGAGGGTTCAGCCACCTGATAAGTTGCTGCAAGTCCGACGAAACTATCTATCATCATCAGTTTTTTTTTTTGCTTTTTTTTTTTTTTTTTGGTACTTGCGGTTTTCTTGCTGGCTGATCTTTGCTTAGTTTTTTTTGCGGCTCGTGCATTTCCCTTCCCTTTCTGCCTTGACAATGTGCTGTTTGCCTGTCCGCCCTCTGCTGCTTCTCCTCCATACCCATGCCGCCTGTGTCTCTAGTAAGTAAGCGGACGTTTTTGTGAATTTAATCGTTTGGGAAGTGACTGTATCTTTCTAGCTCTTCGTATACACTCTTTGTTGTGGCTTGCCCTGGATTGCAGACCTTCTCTTTTGATTCTTTCATGTGGGCGCTTTTCAGCGCGTTTCGCTGCGATACGATCGTGGAGCCTTCTTCACCCGTCAAACCCCTCTCTCTCTCTCTCTCTCTCTCTCTCTCTCTCTCTCTCTCTCTCTCTCTCTCTCTCTCTCTCTCTCTCTCTCTCNCTCTCTCTCTCTCTCTCTCTCTCTCTCTCTCAACACACACACACACACACACATATACACAGGAATTTAGGAAACCACCCCTCAAAGGACAAAGCGGCAGGAGGAGGCTCGGAGAGAAGCCCCGAAAATATGCAGACCCAGGTAAGATTATAAACCTACCTCGAGCGGACTAATACCACGAAAAGGGGAACCCCGCTCTTCGACCAAGCTCGAACCTGGAACCGGCAAAACAGGTAGGCACGGGCCCACAGACCCACCCGTCTATGACCCACCAGCGAACAGAATGGAGAGCACCCAACCAGATTCCCCTGAACCCACCTCTCATGGAGAAAAACAACGAGCCTCGAGCCTTGGACCTACGGACTAAGCGGGATGGTACCTCATCATCCTTCGATATCTCCCGATCATGGGATATCGAAGCGGATCCCTCTTTGAAGGTAATTGGGGAACTCAAGGGACAATCACAGGGAAAACGAACATACCTGCCTCCCACTTGAACGAAGAGTCACAGGCACGAGAACCACGGATGGAATGGACTGATACCTGGTTTTCACTGGGTTGATGGGCCTTGAGCCCGGGACGTATCGATCGGACTGGCAATCACCTCGGGCCACCTTCGATACTTCCCGAGGGACTGAGTGATAACCCATCTCGTTCTTTCGCTTTTTTCGTTTTTTCGTTTTTTCTTTTTTCTTTTTTCTTTTTTCGTTTTTTCGTTTTTTCTTTTTTCTATTTTCGTTCTTCGTTTTTTCGTTTTCTCGTTTTTTCGTCTTTTTCTGTCTCCTCCTCCTTGTCCTTTCTTGCCTTTTTTCTCCCTTGTTGTCTTCCTCCTTCGCTGTTGTGGTTTTTCAGCTTTTTGAGCACGGACGGAACCCTCCACTTGGTGTCACCCAAGGCGCGGGGATATCTCCCGTATCTGCGGCGACTAATTAGAGATCCCCCGGGGGTAGATGACTAGGATAGGTTTTTGATTCCTTCATACCTCGGTAAGGGAGTTCGATGATACACACCCGCCGCACGAGTACTATTGAAGTTGGGGGTATGCTTATGCGACTGATCTCCCTCCCCTGGCAGATTGTACCCTGTTAGGTCTTCCCTTGAGTATATATAGCGATCATTATCCCTGGTAAGTAGCAAGTACTTGATGGGCGGATCTCTGAGGTGCGAGAACTGAATGAGTCAGGTGCACTATACGGAGTCTATCCTAGTGCAAGTACGGTGGATCAGGACCTTGGAAGCGGGCGCAGGCTTCGGCTATGGCAGACTGGGAGTTCACAACTGGAGCGGAGGAGGACCTACCAATCACGCCGGAACCTGAGGAGGATATCGCGGCGGAAGAAGCGGTACATGGTCCTCAATCTCCTCTGTGTGTGTGTGTGGAAAGGGATATGGCTGTCTGTGTTGGACTGTGARATGGATGTGCTGTTTTGCAGGTTTTAACCCCTCTGATGAGCCGGTTGAGTGGCAACGGCGAAAAAGCTTTTAGGGGAGCCACACCCCTCCTGCGGCGTTATTCCTTCCATGAAATTCGACCGAGTTCCCATAGTTATTCCCAGACGTTCTGCCTAGCCTAATCGCGAAGCCCGTGGATTGGTTTTCGGTTCATCTGGTTGATATTAAGGATTGTGGTTTTTACGATCATCTTGGTAAAATATGGAATGTCTTGGTTCTGTTGGAAGATATCTTCTCGCTTTAGTGGGTATTCCTCTTTTCATCTGTGTTGAGTGAATCAGTTGTCATCGAATAGTTGGTTTTCTTGGGAATCATTTTGGATACTTCTGGATTCAACTGAATGAGATCTTTTCGTTGTATTGGAATTGGTTTTTTCATTTCCCTCCCTCCCACCCAGTTGGAAGACAGAATGCGCCTCGGATTGACCTCTTGTATGTATACCATTGAATCTCCCCGGATTAACCTGATCCATGGAAGTGCGATGATTTCCTTGATTAATGATCATATCCCCCCGTGCCCATACCCCTTCCTGGAGAAGGACGATTGAACCTTGTCTTTCGTATCCCCGAACGCTGTATACTACTGAATACTTTCGACCCCGGTTTTGATATAAATCTTCCCGTCTTTCGCTGTCCCCCTTGCTTTCAAATGAACCTCGGAGAACCCTCTACGCTCCCTCCTTTAACCCTGATTGAACATGAAAACGCCTCCCGTTTGAACCTTTATGCTTGATCATACCCTGCCCACGCTGATTTTTTCCTTCCCATCATGTACCGGAAATATGTAATGATTCCCTTTGATCCTCTCATTGATATTGCATTCTGGCACGGATATTTACGGGCTTTTATATTTTGATTGCTTCAAAGGAATAAAGTTTGTGTGGGCACTGTAGCCATCCTGTCAATTCCGCATTAAGGTGCATCGAGTTGGGTGGCTATGAAACGGTATTGTTGGGATATGACCGGACCCTGGCGTGGTGGAGTGCATGACGGACACGTCATGGGAATATACAGGACACACACACACATTGGACCGGCAGTCTGCTAGGATTGCAGGGTAGGTGTGAGTAAAGTAGACCACCTTTCTCTCTCAGGGGTACGGCTAATTCTAGGCAACATGGTGAGTCCTTATCCACCTGTCAGTCAAATGCATCCTGGGCAGACTGTCGAGGTCCAACCTCCTAATGAGTTGGTGAAAGTGTGCAGTCAGGATCTATTTTTTGTGGAGTTGTGTATAGCGAACATGACAACACAGTGAACACACACATACAGACACACACAGACTTATCAAGTCTTTTTTTCCGAAACTGACTCCTTGAACTCGCTGCTTGGTCTGCAGATCTGCAAGAGTGTTCACATATACGGATTCGATCATCCTGAGCCATATAGTTCACGAGGTTCCAAAATGCAGAGCTACTTTGATAAGGTATTTGAATCTATATTACCAGAGTCGCCCGGCGAACTTGCACAGGGGGGACCCAGCCGGGGTACCCGGGCGACACCAAAAAGGGGGTCAATGTTTTTAATTTTTTTTCTTGGCAGTGGGGCAAATTTGCGCCCACTGAGACGTGCCCAAATCCAGCCTTAACTTTGAGTTTGGTGATATCTCACCAAAGGGGGTCCATGGGGTATAAGGGGTTTTGGAAATGGCTCGAAGGGGCTTAAAGGGGGCTAAAGGGGTATGATATAATTTAGTGTTTTATTTTTATTTCTATTTTTATTTCTATTTTTATTTTCATTTTTATTTTTCGATTCTATAGAGAATCTTGTGGTCACCCTCAGGCAAAAGATGTTTGGTTTGCAATTCTGCATGACATAACTGTTTTTCAGATATTTTTGCCTGGGACTGCCCGGGATTTTGACCGGGACTTTGCCCGGACGTGGCC